AATATGTCGTCATGGTTATGATGTAATAAGTGTGACGTTATGGTTATAGGATTCCTAAAAGGGAGGAGTCTGGGGGCGGAGAAGAAAAAATTCTCGTTTTCTCCCTTTCCCCGCCGCCCGAGGCCCCGCCTAGAGTGTTGTCTCGCAGACTACGAAGAGAGTTCCGTATTTCGTACTTCTCCGTTGTCTAACCACCTCCTTGGTTATATTTCCTGCAGAATCAGAAGGGAAACTCGAGTGAAATAAGTAAGTCTTTATTTAATTTATTACTTGTTAGCTATAGTATACTACAGTAGACGTCTTACGTTCCGACATTTTAAGGTGCCATATTCACAACACGTTCTTCGTTCGTAATAATTTGTAAATTAGATCTGTTAACTTATAAAAAACTAGTTTACAACAAATCTCTGTTCAGATACTTAAGATACCATAATTATGCTTCAGTTCTAGTATTTTTAATTTGGTTAAATCTATGTAGAGAAGAAAAGGTTTTAAGGTGATGGGGATGAAATGCTTGAGTTAAGCCTAACAGTTCTTTTTCGACGGTAGCTCGACTCACTGGTTTCTCCCTCCTGCAATCTTAAAAGCGTAGAAACCTTGGCGATTAGGATGTGCCGTGCTGTGTCTAAAGTAATGATATTTTTGTTTAAAGTAACGATATGGTTGTGAACTGAGTTAAATCTATTATTTTAAACTATGAAAATCGGGTTGCCTAACACTGTTTTCCTGTTAATTTATTGCTTAACGCTAACCTACCAAGATTTCGAGTAAATTTAAACTTGGGTTACTCGTAGTCTATAACCAACTAACAATGCACCACGTTTTCTATTTCACGCTGTCAGCCTTTACTCGCGTTCTTCATGATGTGGTTGTCAAAAGCGGCCAGCATTTACGGCTTTGCTGCCAATTGTCATCACTTCCCACCCACCCCTACACAGTCACTTGGACTAAGAACAAGAAATCTATAGAAAAGGATGAGAATATCAGAATAGTTAACGACCGCTGCACTCTCGGGCTGGACATTTTGTCAACAGAGACCTCCGACACCGCAAATTACCATTGTACTGTCACGTGCGCGTCACGCCGGATCACGTGTTCGGCTCATGTGGCTGTTCTAGGTAAAAAGCTTTCCAAACCAGTTTGACCAGTCGTGGTAACAAGTGCCGTTTTCGGCAAAACCTCGGATAAGAAGCTGAATAATTTCTGATTTTATCGCCCTATCAGAAGTATCTTAAACGAATGTCTTGTAATACCTAAGCATTTTACACAGTCAACTGACACTCTGAAAGTTTTGTCGTTAGTTAGTCACGTCTTGAGAGGTCTTTTTGTATGTTAGGTTGAGCAAAAAACGTTTGGTTTTCGGAACGGTACTCGTTTCCTCGATGTGTGTTTTTATTTCCATAAGAGCTTGTTTACTAATATTTAGACAAGCGGCCTCTAAACCGCGATGTCTTTTGCTATACCGACTACACGAAAAGAAGAAAACAGTCCACGAATGTGTTTTTTGTCGCCCTTCAAGTCCATTGTCACAACGAGAATTGTCTCTTGTATCTGTCTGTAGGGCTCTTCCATTGTCCCTTTTGTGACCAACACCAATTTTCTCCTAACACTATCCATACATTGTCAACAGAAATGGTTAGGAGAATTAAAAAAATGATCATCAAAGGGAAAATTATTTGATCTTTTATCAAATTCTCTCAACTATGGAGAATTTGTATGTGGATATTGGGGCTTAAACGGTTAATGAACCGTGGTTGATTTCTGATCCTGCGGTGATTTCCTGTTTTTCCTTAGGTGTACCGGAGCCTCCCTCGAAACCTTACGTCAAAGAAATGACGTCATCTTCAATCGTCCTACAGTGGGAACCACCTCAGTTGGATGGCGGAAAACCGATCATGGGTTACGCGGTTGAATTCAAAGAGACAGGGGTGAGCATGTGGATGCCGGCCGTGCCGTTTGTGGCGGGAAATAGTGCGGTGATCGATGACCTGACGCCGGGTGCTACTTACCAGTTTAGAGTTAGTGCTAACAATGAGATCGGTATCAGCAAGCATAGTCCTATGACAGACTCTATAACACTGGACGTTGAAAGTGGTGAGTTTGTAGGAGAGAGGGGTGGGAGGGGACGCTTCAGATACAGAAACCCCACACCACTCTTGTAGTATCTGGTCTGTTTTGTTGAGGGAAAGAGTGACCTTTCATTTACTGCAATACCGACGTCCATAACGAGGAAGGGAGGGGTAGGTGTCTTCGATTTAGAAGGGTTCGTCAAGAGTGCTAGTGGCAGAGGTGTTGAAACAGCGTTGGCACTTGTTGTGGTTGGTCAGCCTCGTGGTAGGGGAGAGGTGAAGGGAGAACTTTGCTTTACTTGCTTTTGTCAGGGGAAGGGTAGGGAGAAACGCTGTATTTACAGTAATCCTAGTATTAGATCACTGACCACATCCTCCAAAGTCTTTTAAAATTCTTTTCTTTTAAAATACTAAATTGTGTTAACGTTTTGGGGGAAACGCTAACAGTAGTAAGTGGGGTAAACTTAACCCAGTTTAAACAAAGCTGACGAAATTTTGCTATCTCTTCTTTAAAAACTGCTTTTCATGGTGCATGGATTAACTCACAGACTTAACAGTGAAAAACATAACATTAAAGGGAATTGTTTAATGGGTAACTTACGATACTAACAGAAGAACGTTTGAGACTAAACTTCACTCACCTAAAGAACACAGAATGGAAAGTAGCACTTTGAATCGTGTTATGCGCGTTTTAAAGGAGCTGTGTCACGAAATCTATCAAAATTCAAACGTAGGAATTTGTTTGACATGAAACTGTAATTTAGTCATTTACAAATAATTTCTTCGCTAACGTTAAGTTCCATAGACATTTATAAAATGACTAAGATAGTACGCGCGCTCTGTTTGGCCGAGGGGCGTGTTTGCATGAGAGTATGTAAACATGGTTGTGACGTCAAAATGTTTTGCTTTTTGTGCGCTAATCACGCAAGCACGAATGTGAAAAAGTTTTTGAGTTGAAAACTCGACAATTTTACTTTATTTAACAATTCCCTCGTCGGCTGAAACTTTGAAAATCTTTACAAACATGCTTTGTCAATTTTTTTTTCGCTTAAGGTGACATTTTAAGCGAGAAAAATCCGTACTTTGGAAAGCATCTTTTTTTGCAAAACAAGAAGTGATTACGCGTGCAAGACTTCGTAATATGAACTACAAAGTTGTGACACAGCCCCTTTAGATCCCATTAAACGTCATATTGAAGTTTATAAAACTTGTACTCACAGTTTCATCTTGCTGTATTGCTTCTTGCAGAGGGATGCATTTAATACCCCAGCTTAAACAACACAAGCTTTCTACGTACTTCTACAGAATAGAGTTGATAATTATTCACTTATAAGATTTTCAACACTTGTAAAGATAGCAATCGTTGTAAAGATAATTTCTACTCTAAATTGCTATATAGTTATTTGAACTTGTATTAAACGCTAGGTGGTACTTGTTTAGTAAAACAATATAGGTAGTTGACTTTTAAACTCTAAAAAGAGATAATGCTATTTAGAACCGCTGTTAATGCTTCAAAGAAATAGGCTTTGTCAATAACGCATAAAATATCACGAGCAAAAAACATGCAAGAAGATGACGAAAAAAGTTGTTTTCCAGAAAAAAATAAATGCATGAAAGTTAAACGCGCATGGAGTCACGTTACCTGCTGGTCAGCTATAAATCACGTGCAGTCAAAAGTCTGAGCTATCGTTTGCTTGATCTTTCATGAGTAGCAATTGCGTGTATCACGTGAATGTAAGAGTCGTGCAGGCACGGTTACTTTGCATTCAACTTTGAAAGCCTTCCAATCAGATTCTGTAACTTTCTCTGGAAAATAACTTAAATTACGTTAACTCAATTACTGAATAATTGAAAACAGAGTTTTAAAAAGGGTTTTTCTTTTTGTAGGGTAGAGTTTCAAAAATACTGTAGTTACTTTTTCCAAGAAGAGCTTCTAATAAGTTATGAATTAAGGCAAAATTTGTCTTCCAGGTAAAAATGTTGGAAAATGAGAGGAATGTTTTCCTTTGAATAAATTATTTAACATTTAATTATGGTTAAATTTGATTTAAAAATTGGCCTCCATAGTGCTTGGCATTTGAAATTATAAATGGAGGAAATTATTTTGATAATTTTTTTTATTTTCATTTATCGACAAAATTGTAATGCAATGCATTTGCCAAGTGCAATGCTCCAATCTTAAGATTCGAGGTCAAGCTAGTTTAAGAATGATAATTTATTAAGCATGTTTAAAATAGTTTACACCTGGTATTGCATAAGTATTTGAGCTCAGCGCAATTACATACCAGAAAATAAATACAAATGAAAGTGGTCACATTGATAATCTCATCTTTGCTGTGAAATGCCCTCCTTTGGTTTCCCGCGTTTTTTCCTCGTGGGTGAGTTAAACTTCTAGTTCCTGTTTTTGCGCGCATCGTCGATATATTTCATACAGACAAGTCACCCCTTTGCGCTACTCCAGTTCAAACGCGCGGGTTAAAATCTCGTTCAGTTTTGAAATTATGAATATTTAAGTTGGCTGAAGGCATTAAAGAGTACAAGTGAGCATAAATGAAGAAGACACGGAGCTTTCTTCAAATATCAAAAATCATCGTCTTGCTGAATAAAGTATTTCTTCAGGTTTTCCTTCAGGGCTCTTTCTTTGTTGTTCCCCTTTCAGATTAAAGAATAAGATCTGCGCATATGCCAACGTTTGCCAGTTCTCTTCCCGCCACAACCCCACCCCATCCCCTGACGCGCCCCTATCGTCATGTCATTCTCTTCATCATGTTTGGGAAGTCTTAAGCTCTTTAACTGAATTAACACAACAACTGCGCTGGAAATTTCGTACCTTTTATCTCAGGAAAACACTGTCACTAGCCAGATACGCACCAAAATATGGAAATGTGGCTGCCTTGCACTGAGTAAGCAAGGACAAAAAGCAACATTGATTCAATCAAACCAAAAACTCACCTTGAGACATACCCTACAGATCTGGCGCGTGCTGGACGCAAGTTCTTCCCCGGTTCTCACTCTCCCCATCCCTGTTCGGCCACCTCTGTTACTCTCCCTGGAAGGGACACTACTCTGTATCTCCACCCTTAGAACCATTCTTTTATCCCAGTCCTTTCTTTTACAACCGTTAAAATTAACCGAGGAGGTGTGGGGGTATTGCTGTCTGCGAACCAGTTTTGGCGCCAATGTATGCTATGACGCAAGTTAACCCGTTTCCATGACCTTCACGCCCCTGCATCCCCCTGCGGTGGATGTGATGGGACGTATCCCCTTTTTTTATCCCCTGGGGGCTCCATGGACCAGGATACGCTAGGAAATGAGTTAGGACAAAAGGTGGAAAATTTTTTTGTTGTTGTTTAAAAAATGAACTTCAACTTCCAATTTAAAGTAAGACAAGTTTCGATTGATTGATCTACGATCATCTTCAGTTGCAAGTAATACAGTTACTGTGATTTGAGTCAACAATATCTGGTGATACATGATGCAATTGCACGTGATGTTACAACTCGTGATTACACTTCAAACTTAACGTTATTAATAAGCGCGCGCAAGGGAAAGGTACAAAGAAACCAAATAAATTAAATCTTAAAATCTTAAAAATGGATTATTTGCAGCAATAATGAATAATCGAATAAATTAAATTAATAAATTTAGTAATAACAAAAATGGTAAAAAATAACGTGAAAACGAAAGATCAAGGTCAGCTTGTTTCAGTTGCTTGTTCTCACCGGATGCATGCGGCTTCCTTTAGCAACAACTGGTGTCGGTTTTGCGGAGCATCCAAAATTAAAAAGCACTTCTTGGAGTATAAGTTTGCGACATTCCACCTACTGTAGCATAAAGGGATCATCAGACGTTTCTTAGAAACTTCCCTCCTACCCCTCCCCTAATCCAACGTTAACACTTATTTCTTACTTGGGGCAAAATGTTGGTTTAGGGGAGGGGTAGGTATAAAGATGTTAGAGGTCCTATCCTTGGTCATATGCTCACAAAGATTATTATTTTGTTCTTATTCAGACGACGAAAAGAAGAAGAAACACAAGAGAAAAGTGCGTAGCGGCTCCAAAACGGAGCCCATAGTGTGGAAGACAGATATTGAAAATTTTCACAATATATACGCAGAGCTAGGAAGGTGAGTAGACGAGAAAGCAATGTTTTTTATTTGTAATATGATTGTATTTGATAAGCAAATGCACTTACCACATGCTAAGCGCGAGAAATCGCGTGAGTGCAAGTCGGGTCACGGTTGGTTTTGGTCTTTCTCCTGACTGGTTGAAAAACAGCGCGAGAGTTTTTAGCCAATTACAACGCGTAACAATATCAAACTATTGTAATCGCGAAGTAATAGACCATTTCTGAGTTTCAAACACTCTCTCCTTCTAAACGCGGCTAAGTGTAAAACTTTTGTTGTGAAAATGTCATTTTCATATTAATGGCTTCTAACTTAGCCTCGCTTTGAAACAGAGGCTTGTGGCAACTCGGAAGTGGCCTATAGAGTGTTTTCACATGACGTCACGGCGGCCATATTGTTGTTCCAAACCAAAGAAACGGCGGCCATGTTGGTGTCCCAAACCAATCCTGTGGGAGTTGAACTCTTTTCTTATGTATTAAAACGCTTTGTTTTGTTCTAATAAGTTTGCGTAGATGCTGGCCACGTGAGTGAAAACGCTCTATTTTCGCCTCTAAACTGATAAGCTGTATTCTCTTGTTCTTTATAGGGGCCGGTTCTCTGTTGTGAAGAAATGTGTTGAAAAAACAACAGGCAGAGAATTTGCTGCCAAACTAGTAAAAAAACGAATGGTTGGCAAAGAAGACGTAGAGGACGAAATTCATCTTCTAAGAAGACTAAAACATCCGAATTTGAGCAGCTTTATCGACGTGTTTGACACGCCGAAGAACTATGTAATAATTATTGAACTTTTAGCTGGTGGTCGTCTGTTTGATCACCTGGCTGTCATGGACAATTTATCGGAGAAAGTTGCCATTGGTTACGTGCGAGAGATACTTGAAGGAGTTCAACATCTAAGAGACCTTAGTATCGTGCACCTCGACCTGAAGGTGAGGCTGTTAATGTTAGGGTTCATAGTCCTCTTTAGCTTGGTTTAGTTGTCCTCTCCTTGCACACCACGTTATGCTTTTCTAGCGGACTCTTTCTTGTAACCCTGTATGTGATCGTGGTGTAAACCTCTTTTTCACTTATTGATCATTCACTTTTTCTTATGTTCGATTGAGCAGTTGGGTCAATCTAGGTTTCTGGGAAACTACCCACCCACCCCTCCCATAAGCCATCATTTTGCCCTAAGTGAGAAGCAAATGTTAATGATACCTTAGGGGAGGGGTAGGTGAGCAGTTTCCCAGGAACCTAAATTGATTCGAGTAGTTTTACCGTAAGACTAACGCCAAGTTCACTTAGTGAGGTCTTCACACGATCTAAAGTGGGAAAATAAACAAGTCACTCTCACTATAAATGAGGTCATTTCGCCACCAAATGAACGAAAAGGAACTGGAGCCGAGATTTGTCCCGCAATTGTTTCTGGGATCGTTATTGGGGACGCGCTGCGGGTCAGCTGTTGGACGCGCTGCGGGTCAGCTAATGGACGCGCTGCGGGTAAGCTGTTGGACGTGCTGCCGGTCAGCTATTGGACGCGCTGCGGGTCAGCTATTGCCTAATTTTTTTTCTCTGTCTCAAGTAACATCCCGAGAAGTCGTTGCGTAAGTTAACTGTACCCTGTTCCTTCTCGTTTCTGTGGTGGATAATAGCCTAAATACTTGTATTCTGGGTAGAATGTATTTCGTAGAGCGCTGTATTCATTTAATTGAAGAGCATTGACTATTAATAACTTCACGGGAGTTCAGGCTTCACTGAGTAATCATCGATCGTTTATTGCGACAGTTCTGTTTCGTTTGGTCCGAAATTATAGGACCACACTAAAAACCTACTTGTGAAATCTCCTCAACCTGTTTATCAAAGTAAGGCAATTTGATTTGAACTTATGCTCATGTGAATGGTTAGCGCGAGGACTTGCTTTGAGGAAAAAAAGGCTTAAGGTGATTCCAAATTGGGCTATTTTGAGTATTTGTTCTAGCTGATAACATTGACATTCTAATATTTGCGTTGCTTCTCCTGTTTAGCCTCAAAACCTTCTCTTAGAGGCGGGACCGTTGCCAAAGGTTAAGATTATTGACTTTGGCTGTGCGGCGGAACTTGCCGATTCAGAACCTGTAGTTAGACAAGTTTTTGGAAATCCCGAGTTTTCCGGTAAGTAAAACGAACTAGAAGACATATTTTAGCTAGCGTTAGTAAACCCACGATACAATAACCGTGTTAAAGCAAACTTAAATAAATACTGTGTTGATTTTTTTTCTTTAGCTCCTGAACTAGTGAACAGAGAACCTGTAGATTTTACCACAGATACTTGGTACGTATGCTTGTTATTGATCTCTGTTGAATTAGCGTGCTGTGTAAAGGGGGAGGGGAGGGACGCGAGGAAGAAGGAACGGAAGTGACTGTGTCACCTTCCTTCCTCGTGCGCCTGGTCTCCCTCTTTTCCCCAACCCCACCCCCCTCCCCAACCCTCTTTCTGAGCGCCTGCCAAAAATTATTGTGTAAGGATTTTACATAATTTTGCTTATTCTAACGGTTTGTTGTTTCTTTTGTTACAGGAGCGTTGGAGTTATTACCTATGTCATGTAAGTGTTGTTATAATAATACGTAATAATGGTTTTATTCAGCATTTCCACGAGGTGGTTCTTCTTTTCTGTTGTTACGAAAAGTTTCCTGTTTGGCATGGTCGAGTATGTTGATTGAATAAATATTTATCACAGTTCTTGTTTTTCCGTTGCAGCCTTAGCGGAGTATCACCTTTTCAAGGAGAAACAGTTGAAGAAACGTGTCGAAGAATAACTGACGTCAAATACGAATTTAATCCGAAACACTTCGATCCCATCTCACAACAGGCCAAGGATTTCATCGCCGCGCTTCTTGTAAAAAATCCTAAGTGAGTGAAAGCACATTCCAAGCTTTTTGTCTTTCTTTCTTTGTTTTTCCTTTTTCTTTTTTTACCTTTCTCACGAAAGCTCGCCACATTACTGGTCTGTAGGGTCCACCGTACGGAAATTTATGCAAAAGGTTCATGAACTGGCTTCCTCAAATTTCCATTCTCGTTCACAGAGCTTCGATTCTTTTTGTTAATAATAATAATAATAATATTCAATACTTATATTGCGCTTTTTCTATAAAAATACTCAAAAGCGCATTACAATATTATCAATAACTAAATTAAAACCAGTAAAATCACCCGGTAAAATTACAATATTACAATATTAACATTACAATATTAAAAAAAATAAAAATAATAAAAAAAAAAAAAATAAATAAATAAATAATCTAACTAAAAGCCTTTTTAAATAAATATGTTTTAACAGAGCGTTTAAAAGAGTCGATTGATGTTTCCTGTCTAATTGGCAGAGGAAGACTGTTCCATAAAAAGGGGGCAGCCATCGATAACGCGCGATCTCCCAAGGTCTTCTTCGTTCTTAGCCGAGGTCTTTCTAACAATATACCATTATTGTTACGGCGTAGTTGGTAACGTGAGACCGGTAAGACAGAGACAAGATCCTTAAGATAGCTAGGCGCAACACCGTGCAGAATCTTGAATGTAACAAGGAGAATCTTAAAATCTACGCGCAAGCGCACTGGTAGCCAGTGGAGTTCTCTTAACAAAGGAGTAACGTGACAATACTTAGGTGCACAGTAAACCAATCGAGCACTGGCATTCATGACTCTTTGAAGTTTCTTAATTTGATACTCAGGAGCACCGTACAATAAACCATTACAGTAGTCAAGCCTGCTTGTGATGAACGCGTGAACAAGCCTCTCGGTGGACTCACGAGACAAATACTTCCTAATGTGCCGGATATTGTACAAATAATAAAACGCGCTAGCACAAGTCTTAGTCACATGAGTCGACATGTCCAGATGAGAATCGAACCAGGTGCCCAAATTGCGCACTGAAGAAGCAGGCGATACCTCAGCTTGGCCGATCTTGATCTTGTCAACGGACACCTTTGATAACTGTCGTTCCGTGCCAATGATCAGGAACTCAGTTTTATCGTCATTTAGCATTAACTTATCATCTCTCATCCAAGCGCGAACGTCACGAATACAGTTCTCAATCGCAATCACAGCATCAGCCTCGCTGGTCTTATCAACGGGATTAAACGATATATATAGCTGTG